TGGACATTTCGGAAAAACATTCGAATCTTCAATTTAACAAAAATTTTTTTTTTTCCCCTTTGGGCCTAAACAATATTCCCCCTTCCTTTTGTAAATTTATTTTTGTTTAGTCGTTTGTTTGCCACTTTTTTTTTAAACACGCGACACCCGCATCCTTTTTTATAGGAGAGAGGGTGGTTGCCCGTCCAGAATTTTAAAGGAGGCCAACCAGCACCGTTCCTGGGCTCAAAAACAATGAAAAAAGGGGCCCCCGCCTCTTTCTCCCCGCCCCCAGGGGTGGCCAACTGGGGCCCGGGATCAATATGGGGTCCTTTGGCCCCTTGAGTGTGGCTCTTCCACAAAAATCCCGCGTGCGGGCACGCACGTACAGTGCAATTGAAACTTCGTGGCCCATGCGCAGAAGTCGGTATTTTGTGGAAGAGCCACACTCAAGGGGCCAAAGAGCCGCGTGTGGCTCGCGAGCCGCAGTTTGCCGACCGCTGTCTAGCCGAGCCTTAGGTTCCAGCAGTTCTTTACTAAAATGTGAATCTGAAAAAATAAATAAATAAAATGTAAATCTGTTGCTTGTTAGCACCTTAGCAGAGATAAATTTACCTGAACATTACCTCACAAATGCAGGGCACTGATAGAACACGTGGTCTTTGATAGAAGAGGGAAGAGTAGAATGAGTTGTAGCCTGAGCAGGACAAATGCAGATAAGTCACCTCTGGGACACAGCTGGGGGTTGGGGTGGAAGGGGGAGCGCCGAGTATCAAAAGGGGAAGCGAGGTGCTGCCAAAATCAAACTTCATGGATGTGTGTGTACACAAGGTTTACATCACCAGTAATGAGACATTTAGACACTACATTCCGCCTCATACGCTGCACTGAAAAAGCACATCATTTGTGTAGTATTCTGTTTTTTTTAATATATTTTATCGAATTTTTACAGAGAGGAAGGGAGAGGGATAGAGAGTTAGAAACATCGATGAGAGAGAAACATCGATCAGCTGCCTCCTGCACACCCCCCACTGGGGATGTGCTCACAACCAAGGTACATGCCCTTGACCGGAATCGAACCTGGGACCCTTGAGTCTGCAGGCCGACGCTCTATCCACTGAGCCAAACCAGTCAGGGCTGTGTAGTATTCTGTCAAAATGCATAACCTCAATCTAGCCAGGGGAAGACATTCCATGAATCCCACTACAAAATAACTGAGCAGTACTGTGCAGTAGTATCAAGATCATGAAAGTCAAAGAAAGATTGAAGAACGGTCACAGTGGAGACACCAAGGAGATGTGACAACAAAATGCAACGCGGGGTTCCAGGTTGGATCCTGAGGCTGGAAGGGGGCATTAGGGAACTCGGGTGAAATTCTAGTGAGGTCTACAGTTTCGTTAACAGCACTGTTCCCAGGTTAAACTTCGTAGTTGTGATCTTGTACCACAGTCATGTAAGATATTAACATTAGAGAAAGGTGGGTGAAGGATACACAAAGATAATACTATTTTCACAACTAAAATTATTTAAAAAAAAAAAAAAGAAAGTCCAGGGCATTAAGCAAGACATTACTTTAAGTTTACTGGGCACCGGCCTTACTTTAGGTAAGACCTTTTGTTCTACTCTGGCCTTTTTAAAACAATGGGGTTGTGTTTATGGCTGCCAGATCAAAATGCGTAGGAGGGAAAAGGTAAGAATGTGAGCCTGCATACTAAACAGCAACTTCAGTTAACAGCAGGAATTAGAAACACCCACAAATACAGTGACTATGAAACTAATTAGAATAAGAATGAGAAATCAGGATAAATGGATTCAAATTTTTGGCATCACAGTGTTGAATGTTTTCCTGGCTCCAGGGTTGGTTTTAAAGGCTTTTTTATATTTGTCTTGGTGACATGTGTCATCTTTTGATATTGACATAGCTCGATAGACGGGCCTGAGTAAGCTGGCCCATCTTGTCCTCGATGCAGAATTGATGCATTTGAACTATCCGTTGTGAACTATACGTTGTGAACTGCAAGTGGTGGTGGCTGTTCTGTGACTGATAAGAAAATGAACTAAGCAGCTTATAAGTAGAGGTGATGAACTAGGTGCATCTTTATTTGTGTATATTTATAAAATCTTACGCTGTCCTGTTGAGTTTTGATTAGACAAAATCACACAAAAATGTGTAATTCATGCTGTGTAAAGGTTATTTGTCATGACTGTAAGAGATCACTGTGGCAAAGCACAGCAGAGCTTCACATGCTGTCTAACAGACGGCATAAAATCGTGTTCATCTTAGTTTTATTTTATTTAATTTATTGATTTGAGAGAGAGAAACATTGATTTGTTGTTCCACTTATTTATGCATTCATTGGTTGCTTCTTGTATGTGCCCTGACCATGGACCAAACCCAAAACCTTGACATATCAGAACGATGCTCTAACCTACTGAACTACCCAGCCAGGGCTTCACCTCAGTTTTGCCCTGTAAGTGGTTTTAGGATCAAATTCTAGACTCCACCAGCACTGCACACCTGTGAAGTGGAGTAGGATGTAGGAACTCTGGACTCTGGAAGACAAGAGCCCTGGTTCTGGTCTGGGCTTTGCTGTTTACTAGCGAGGGGACTTTCTGTGGTTGGATTCTGCTCTACACTCTCCTTTTCTTTTCTGCAAATCGGAGGGATGTCGAACTCAATCCAATTTTATGGGCCAGTAAATTTTATTTAAACAACAATTTGGGAGACTTATCTGGGGGTGCCCAACTTTTCATTTTGCCCAAGTTAGAAAACTATCATATATATAGGAATATTAAAACTAATTGGGATGTATGTATGTTATATTTCAATACATTTTTTTAAAAAAACTAATTGTGATAATAATGAGGAACAGAGAAAGACTACATTTATTTTTTAAATTCCAAACTGCCATTTATAATCACTGTCTTTTCATTAAAAACAAAACAAAACTATTTTAATATGACAAAACTGGGGAAATTTTAATCTCAGACTAAAGAACAATCCTTTAAAGTGAATTCACCTTGGTTTTTAAAGAAATGTGATAGATTACCCAAATATATCTCAATTTTCTGTGGACCAGCAAAAATTTTATCATAAACTCATGATTGAAAATGAGTAATTTGTAAGATCACTTGTAGCTCTTACATTCTGTGATTCTATGAGGCTCCTCATAGAACATTTTACTGCTATTTCCTCCACCCTTCAAACCCATTAGAACTCTCATGAAAGTCACTGAGTGGCAGAGGTTGGCGATTAACGTCACTCTCCCTGCATATGAATGAGTTTCACTACATCAATCAGTTACTTGGCTCACCATCCCCATCCTCTGCTTTCTACCCCCAATCCTTGTTTGTGTGTGTGTTTGTTTTTGAAATCTGTCTTCCTAAGGTCATAAAAATCCTCCTTATTTTTAGTTGGAGCTCCTAGAGAGAAAAGTTTCTCATCATCAGAGAGAAAAGTCTCTCATCATCATCATGGTACCAAAAAGAAACCCAGGACTCCTAACTGCACCCAGTGTCACAGGAGCAGAGAGCGCTGAGCACGTCTGAAAGGGCGCCTCCTGCAGGCGCACTGTGTCAGGTGTGAAGGACACTCGGGCCACATTCTAAGCCTGAGGCCTTTTGTCAGATCATTCCCCGAATTCTGTGTGGGCTTGTCCCACATGTGTAATCTGACCAATTGCAGTTTCTTGGGTTCATTTGGTCAGCCTCCGATGGACTTTCAGCCATGTCTCCTAGGCTGGCTTCTAAGCTTGTGATACAAAGATGTGCAATAGTCCCAGGCCCCTGCCTCCTGTGGCTATTAATTTATACTCCTGTGGCATGTTTTTCAACTCCTTCTTTCTCTTTGCCCTTCATAAACACTGTCCGTCACCTGAGTAGATCTTGAGGGAAATGCTGATGCAGATCTAAACTCTGGGGGTGTTTTTCTCCTTGGTTACAGACACTTGGTAAATGATGTTTCAGGTGATGGGAAAACCCACTGTCGGGAGAGAATAGCACCTCTTATTTTACAGTAGCTAACCTGTGGCCCAGGCACTCACTAAAAAGGGACCTTCCCTAGTGTGTGTTTGGGAGAGGGGTGACGTCCAGGCCTCCGTTTTGTTTGTCATCCATTTTTGTTTTTGTTTTGTTTTGTTGTTTTAATCCTCACCCGAGGATATTTTTCCATTGATTTGTTTTAAAATATATTTTATTGATTTTTTACAGAGAGGAAGGGAGAGGGATAGAGAGTTAGAAACATCGATGAGAGAGAAACATCGATCAGCTGCCTCCTGCACATCTCCCACTGGGGATGTGCCCGCAACCCAGGTACATGCCCTTGACCGGAATCGAACCTGGGACCTTTCAGTCCGCAGGCCGACACTCTATCCACTGAGCCAAACCGGTTTCGGCTCCATTGATTTTTAGAGAGAGGGAAAGACAGAGAGAAATATCCATGTGAGAGAAGCACATCGATTGGTTGCCTCCTGCACGAGCTTCGACCAGGGCCCTGGCCGGGGAGGAGCCTGCAACCAAGGTATGTGCCCTTGACTGGAATTGAACCCAGGACCCTTCAGTCCGAAGCTGACGCTTTATCCACTGAGCCAAAC